CTCATGTTATCAAGAACAACCCATTAATAAGTGGAAACTACTTAATACGATTTAATAATTGTTCTATCAAAATTAACGAGTACTATTTTTCTAATTATATTGAAAATATAAAGAAAATATTGTAAGCTTATAATATGGAGATATTCGGAATTTTACGAAAAGAATTACCTTTGATGAAATAATAGAGGAGCATAGATCAAACATAGAAAGCATTTTTAAATTGAGAATTCATAGTAAAATATCGAATATATGCAATATATAAGTATATTTATAATTGTAATAATAGTTATTGTTATTATCAATAAACATAAACGTATAACAATCAAATTGAATACACGAATTCAGGAGAAATTCGAATCTAAAGGGGGGAGAAGTTACATATATTAACAGCTACACAAAAACACCTGACGGTGCAATTGATAAGTATGAAGAATTCTTGAAGCAAATTAATAAAGTTGAAACATAAAACCATTTCGGCATATTGCAAAAGTTGTACACAAAAAGAGAAATTGAAAATCAAAAAGACACCAAATTTCCGAGAATTAGTAAATTGGGGAACATATTGATTAGCAAGCAGTTTTATTTAGTTCACATGGAACAAATTGATTAGCAAGCAGTTTTATTAAATTCATATGCCAAAAGTAATTAATAAGCAAATATTGTAACTAGAATATAAGCTTATTTTAAATTGAATAAATAATTTAATTCAGTCTGATTCGAGAGCCCAAACCCACTTGTTGTCTTTTGGTTAATCGCGTAAAACTATTTTTTATAAACGCCCGGACGACGGAAATTACTTGAATCCGCACGTCCTAACGTTTTACCCATATACGAACAGCGGTGGCGGAGCAATGATTTCCACGCACACATACTACGTTTATACGTAAGCTATTTGCAAATAAAAATAATTTGCAAATACCTAACTCGCTGTTTATTCGATGGTGAAAAATTCTTTTTTAATATTGCGTGATTATAAAAAGGATATTATTTCCATCGAAAAGGAGAATAAAGTTAAAAGTAGCAGCGTTTTGCGCTTATTTGCAAATAGTACCACTAATCAATACTTATTTGCGTGATTTAGTTACAGTGAAACCCGCTTAAGTACCCCCCGCTTAAGTGCCTAACCCGATTAAGTAACCAAAATTTTTAGACACCATGAATTTTTTAATGTATTCTGAAGAAAATCCCTCTCTTAAGTACCCCCCCGCTTATGTACCCAACCCGCCTTAGTACCTCAATTTTTCATGCCCCATTTACAATTTTACTTATAATTTTCCCCTTTTAAGTGCTCTTTTAAAATTCCTTAAAATATTTATGTACTAGCTTATACCCGCGGGTTTCACCCCGCGCTTTTATACAAATATGAAAAATAATTTAATGATGTTAGATTTTATTTCTGTGCCCCTTTCGTTATAGCTCGTTATTTTTTAAGCGAGTTAAGGTATTTACCTAAGATATCAATCCCTCTAAGTTTATCTTAAAATGGTTCCAGGTATACGACGCGTGAACGTGTAACCCTCTTGGAGGTGCCACGGCGGGTTCTAATATTTCCAACTCAAATTTAGTAACCTGGCCTTGATAAAATACCACTTTTCATTACTGTAGCAATCGCCTCAAGAGAGCTTTAGATTATAAGGCCGAACCCGGCTCTCCCTTTTCCATTTAATGACATTTATTCTGTCAGTACGGCACTTATTAAATAAATCTCCATAACAAATTTAAAATACTTCGAGAAATTGTCTATCCTTCCAGAGATATGTATTAAGAAGTCTTTAGTATGTATGGGAGGCGACATGCCTCCTTTTTTAATAACTCACATTTTTTCCATGAGAAATTGATACATTTTGCATACACAACTCCATACCAAGTTCCAGTATTCTTCCACAAACACTTCCAGGGATATGTGGCAAAAAAAAAGTAAATTTGTACTGGAAGTGCACGCCCCTTTTTCTTATAACCCCAATCCTCGTCCATCAGTTTAGAATTGATTTTACATAAACCAGTACCAAGTCCCAGTACTCTACCATGAACACCTCTAGAGATAAGCAGTATAAAACAGTAAATTTTTACGAGAGGAACCATGCCCCCTTTTCGAATAACGCATATTTTTCTCCATGAGTATGGAATTAATTTTGTATACACATCTCGGTGCTAAGTTCCAGTCCTCTGCAATAAACACCTCCAGAGATATGCAGCATAGAAAAATCAATTTGCATGGGAGTTGCCTGCCACACCACCTTTTCCAATAACTCTCATTTTTCTCCATGAGTATGGTATTAGTTTCACATACATACATACATATGTATTTCCATACCAAGCTTGAGTGCTTTACCCCAAACATTTGAAGAGATATGCAATATGAAACTTTCAGTCACTATGGGAGATGCTACGCCTCTTTTCCAAAAGCGTCCACTTTTCTCCGTGAATATGAACATGATTTCACACAGTGTTGGGAAACTGTTAATCTGATTAACGATTAAAATGTTAATCGCGTTTGACGATTAAAATTAATTAGTCGTAATCAACTGTACGATTAATGATAACATTTTTTTAATCGTTAATCGCTGGCTGCGATTACGTTTAATTAATTTAAAACATTAATCGTTAATCCAATTAAAAATAAAATCTGATTAATTTGTCTAGTTTGTCCGAGTTTGAAACCAAACACCAGTTATAGTAATTATTTTGTGTTTTACGCTTATAAAAAACACATAATATAAAAAAATTATAATTATTGTTATTAGTAATACATAAACTGGGAACTTTTACAAACCTAGTTTGTAAAACGTTTGTTGGTATATATCTTAATGAAAATGCACACCAAATTGCTTAGATTTAGTCCTCAATTAAAACATACAATATGTTTTGTTATTTATCTTTTGGTTTAATCGTTATTTTAAATTGCTCTTAAATGTCAAGTTTTATCTAATTTTAAAATAAATATATATTAGATATATATATTTTTATTTTATTTCTACTTGAAATCAACGAAATTTTCTTTTAATATTCAGAGTGCTCGAAGCACGTTATCTTTTTTGCTCAGAAATCCACACTTAAATTATAAAAAAAAAAATACCAAAGTTTTTATAATAAGTAATTCAACACAGAAATTTTTTTCCGTGCATTACCACCAACACATTCTCATTTTTTGTTTCATAACTAATACATGCTCATTTTAAGACTTTTCTCTTTTTGGCGGGCACTGTCATACACATGTGTGTGCATAAGTGAAAAACAAACTCTGCTCACAGAAAAGTGTGTGCTGTTTCTTATTAAGCACATGTGCATGTGTGAGCCGATTTCTGTACAAATTTCAGCCCACGCACATACACATAATATATTTTTAAAAGAATTTTTTTGTTAAACGTTATTTTTTGAAAGACAATTCAATAAAAAGTGAGATGTTGTTTGTTTTTTATATGACAGAAAACATATTAAAAAATTCTTTTAAGATTTGAGTTAGAATTCGAAGTGTATAAGTTTCTCTACGGAAAGCACATACATGTGCGTGTGCTTTATATTAATAAAAATAAAGTACACACATGTGCTCGTGCTTTTTACCAAACGGCACACACATGTGATGTGAGCAAGTTTTTAACTTTTTACATGCACAGCACACGTGTATGAGCGTAAAACGTTAGGACGTGCCGCGCAATTCAAGTAATTTCCGTGCGTCCGGGCGTTTATAAAAAATAGTTTTACGCGATTAACCAAAAGACAACAAGTGGGTTTGGGCTCTCGAATCAGACTGAATTAAATTATTTATTCAATTTAAAATGAAGCTTATATTCTAGTTACAATATTTGCTTACTAATTACTTTTGGCATATGAATTTAATAAAACTGCTTGCTAATCAATTTGTTCCATGTGAACTAAATAAAACTGCTTGCTAATCAATATGTTCCCCAATTTACTAATTCTCGGAAATTTGGTGTCTTTTTGATTTTCAATTTCTCTTTTTGTGTACAACTTTTGCAATATGCCGGAAATGGTTTTATGTTTCAACTTTATTAATTTGCTTCAAGAATTCTTCATACTTATCAATTGCACCGTCAGGTGTTTTTGTGTAGCTGTTAATATATGTAACTCGTGAGGGCACAGAGCTATGGCATGTCGATCACTGCGCTAGGTAGAGAAAGAAAAGTGTGTGCTATGACATGCCCAGACTTGTTTGTCTCAGTTTCAGTTTTGCTATCGCCGCGAGTTGTTTCGGTGTGCACATAGTTATTTAAAAATATAAAGTTTGATGCCTACCGGGGTTTCTCAGTGGATATATAATTTATGTGAATTATAATTTGAAAGTATCTATTTAGCCAAGGAAAAAGCAAAGCAGTATACTTAAACCCGCACTTCCAGCAGATATTGACCTGGGTATTCGCACGACTATTCCTGTTTCATCGTTTCTTTTAGGAGATTCTTACCACCATATACATAAGTATTATTTACACTAGTAAAAATTTATGTAAATATGAATGTATTTGTTATGCTTAGTATATGCCAATAAAAGAAGAAAGTAAACACAACAACCATCGAGTAAATTTTTAATTGTATCAAACTGGAACTTTTTTTCCAATAATAAACGGTTAGCTGATTCATGTCGACAGCAAGTTCACAAAATTAATTGAAAACTTGTATCAACCAAAGCATTAATTATATTTGCTGAACAATGATTTTATTCAAATAACAATATTGTCCACTCAAGATAGTCGTTTTGTAATTATTAACAAATATACATTTGTCCCAACTAGAAGTTTCAAGTAAATTGCAGACTTTCGTGAACTAGATATTTATTTCGCCATATCCAACTATGCCACTTGGTCACTATAACAAAATCTTGGTAATTATAACTAATGGCTCAGTTATGCATACTTAGTAATACTTCTGCTTAAACTTGTACCACATGGCCAACACAGAGCTGATTATACTCCACATAGCGCATGCAATCTGGCATCTTCATCAGCTGTCTTTGAGCGGTCACTTTATTCTTTATTTTTCATTAATAGTAAAATGCCGATTAGCGTATGAGAAAATAAATAAGTGATTATTTTGGTGATATTAAAAACTAATTTCCGAAAACATGGATGCAGAGTCTTTTCTTGACTTTTTATTCGTAAACGTTCTTCGCATCTACAAACGACGGCAGCAATCAAGAAGAATCCGTCGCTGGGCAGTTCACCCAATCAATAAGGACCGAAGACCCATCGGGTACTTAATCAAAGTTTTCCTGAAAGCCAAGGAGGAAGATGATAAGTTGTTCGTTTTGTCCAGGATGAGGCGTCCAATAAACGACATGCTTCTGAATTTGGTGGGCCAATTCCTTCAAGCAGCAAATTAGCCCCGAAGAGCGTCTAGCAATAGCAATAATGTACGTAAAAACCTATTTTTACACATTCCAGAAATTGAATAAATGTATTGTAAGTTATTTTTAGTTTTTTTAAATCATTCGAACCCTCTCACATTGCACATTTGGCTTAAAAAATTTAATGTATAAAAGCACAAAATATTTAAAAGCAATGGACCTCATGCATCACCATCAGTGCAAAAGTTGAGTCTGAGCTTAAGCTCACATTTTGTGCATGAGGACTATTATGTATGTATGTAGTGTACTATAATATTTTACTTCTTTAATAATCGGTACGATTTTTGGTACATTTCATCATTTGGTACGTTTAGGTATCTCGCACATGGAACTCCGTTTGTAATTATTGCTCCCATGCACAAATTGGGTAAAACTACTGTACGCAATAATGTGTTGGAAACATGTGAGGTGTTATGGACCGCTTTGTCCCCGACATACCTCAGCAAACTGACTACATCACAATACGTGGACATTGCGCGAGATTTCCTGAAGCTCTGGAATATGCCAAATTGTGTCGGAGCTGTCGATGGGAAACATATTGCCATCACATGCCCCAACAATTCAGGGTCATTATACTACAACTATAAAAATTTTTTTTTGCATAGTACTTATGGCTACCTGCGATGCAAAATATACTTTTACTTCTGCTTCTATTGGAAGTTACGGTGAACAAAGCGATGGAGGTAACATAGATTTTACAACTTTTGACATTTACTGACTTTATTTCAATTTAAAGGTGTTTTCCAACAAGCCGCTTTTGGACGCTCACTCCTTCAAAACCGTTTGCCTTTACCTCCAAAAACTCCTTTGTGGAATGGCTCCAGGCTGG